TCATCAATATCATACATGCTTTCCTTGTGACTGAGAATTTCCACTCCCATTTGGTGAATTCTTCCAGAAGGCACGACCAACTTCTCAAACTCTTCCTTACTGATGGGTTTCTCAAGGAGCTGCCATTGTTCGTCGGATGGGTAGTGGCTGCAAATGGCATATTCGGGGTCCATCAGGAACATGGACACGTCTGGGCTGTGATGGAACATCAAATCGGCTCCCAGGTAACCAGCACCCCATGTGGGCTCACAAATGAACCACTCACCGTTGACTTGAACTCCATTCCACGCGTGATTTGTGTCTTTAATCTGCTGGCCCGGCTCGAAGCCATAACCCTTGGCGTAGCCATTTATGGTATGCACTTGAAGACCCGCAGCTTTACCAAGTGCGTCAAATAGATTCGCATAACCAGCGCACACTGATGTTCTGTGACGTAACACGCTTGCGGAATCGCAAGTCTTTTTCTCTGTCCTTCCAAAAAAGCCATCTACATCGTAGGCGACATTGAAACTCAGCCAGCGGAAAATCGCGTAAGCTTTGTTCCTGTCTCCCTCCCACCGACTTGTGAGATAGACGCTCAGTTTTTCGACGCTTTCAGTTTGTTCCTCTGGTGTCGCTAACACATGTGCGTCGATCTGCTTCTCGATTCCCGTGCGCTGTTGAAACTTTGCCATTCGAATCCTGGCAAGAAATCGCCGCATGCTAGTTTGAATGAAAACGATTGTTCGAGGATTAATACTCGCGGCTTCCTCAATTGTATCCACATCTGTGTGGGGAAACACATTGGACGGTCGAGCAAACATGCCATGTCTTGGTTTACACATAAAATAACGGATGCTTTGAAATAACCCATCATTTCCTTGTGGATGTTCTCGATCCAACTCAATTCCTATCCAGTCACCATCGCCTAGTTCGCTGAGACTTCCGATGAACTTCACACTACCTGTGTATCCAGAAACATGAACGCGGTCACCGATGGAAAATAGGGGATTTGTTACGCTTTCTGTAAGCTCGGCCTCATGAGAAAAGATTCGCGGCTTGTTGCTAAGAGAGTTCGGCTTTGATTCAATGTTTTCGTTGACTTCGCGTATAAACGGCTTGGTTTGGCCCTCATTTGTAGATACGACAGCAGTTTCGACGGATTTCGACGACCCACATCCCATTGTTGCCTCAGTCAAGTTGTTAGCAAATATTTAGTCTGCGTGCTTAAGAACACCCTCTCGTCACACTGAAAAGGAGTTCTTAATGCGATCATGTGATAACCAACGGGAACACAATAATGTAGCGTTGCCAACAACAAATGGTTTAGCCATGATAATTAGTGAGATCTGAATGAACAAAATAATCCCAGGGGTTTTTCTCTTTTTTCCAAAATATAAAAGACAAAAAGCATAGCGAGAATTTAGCCACCTGCATGTAACTGTCGTCTCTCAAAAACAGAAATCATTGTTTTCAAATATCAGTTTAGAAGCAAGAAGCAACGAGGTTAATCCTTCACTGACGCGTTTTTTGAATGAAATTATCGGTAACAGCTTTCCCTCAAACAAGCGTAAACGATCATCGAGCTGAAACTCGAGGAAAAGGAGTCAAAACTTGTTTCTTTATTAGATGTTATCTATTCCAAATAAAATGTCCCGAAAAGGAAAAAAACATGAATAATGTAAAGCTAGTGGTGTACTTTCCGAGGAGTAAAGGTTAACCGTTACCACATTGTTAACAAATGGTAACGACCTATTATTCTCCAAAACAATGACAAAGTTCTTCAGAGTTCAACAGAGATAAGAACTGTTTTGATTTAAAATTTTGGTATTCCAAAACATGATAAAGAACCCTTAAGAAAATGTATTAAAAGTGTCTTCAAGCGAAGGAAAAAACAGGTATCTACTCTCTCACCTTTGACAACAAGGTTATTCAAAGATCGCTCGGTGTCAGCCAAATTTGATCGTGTTTGTCCGTGAAAAAATAATTAACACACCAAAATAATTAATTCGGATCGATGCTAATCGTCTCATATCACCTTTTCGCAAAGACAAGCTAAACACACAAGATATTGTCCTCAAAATACTGTAAACACTCATCTAACACCTAGTAATAATTTTTTTTTTCATTTGACCTGCAGATGGAAATCAAGCAAAGAAATGATCCCCGTAGTTGGACTGCAATTCCAGCAATTTCAGAAAAGAAGCCTAAAAATATTCAGGGTAATTTAGTATTCTCAAATGAGTTGACAACGTAAATTGGCCACCGTAAAGAATTTAAAAGCTGACGTTTCGGACGTTAGCCCTTCATCATTCGCTCTTTGCGGTGGCCAATTTACGCTATCAACTTATTTGATAATACTAAATTACCCTGAACATTTTTTGATGTTTCTCTTCTGAAATTTCTTGAATTGCAGTCCAACTGCGTCATTCGCTCTGACAAAGGGCTAACGCTCGAAACGTCAACTTTGAAACTTTTTACGGTGGCCAAGTTACGTTATCAACTCAGTTGATTTTATTAAGTTACCATGTTATACTCTCCCACTAACGCAGCACCACAGTTTCTTTAGAAACTTACCCCCTTGGAAAATATTCAGGCTTGCACGGGATTCGAACCCATGCCTCCCGGATACTAGTTGGACGCTACTTGCAACTGAGCTACGAAGCCTCGAGGCTTCTTCCCTGCATCTGGGGTCCACTCGCGAGGATAATTTTCTAATTAAAACATTTGAAGGAAACGTATATTATGGTTTATACTGCAATAACTAAACGATTTATAGCTGCTGAATGGTGCTTTTACTCGGCACATCATATTGTGTCATGGGGTTCAAACTGTCAAGCCTGCGGATTTGTGATCGATAAACGAAACTTCTTTAATCCATTAACCCCTAAGAGTGTCCGGCTTCTGATTTCTCCTTACAATACCACCCTTGAATATAATGTAACGGTCATGAGAATGAAGGGAAGGATCACCAATTTAAGAAGCTCCTGATTGTCACACAAATTCTCCTTGTTATTATCATTGGAAATGTAAAGAGACAGTGTGGAGAATATAAACACAAATGCTAAGATGGAAAGGGTTAAAAAAATGATCACTAACGCTATCTTAGGTTTTTATATCTGCTTTTTCAACATTTTCCGATCTTCTAAGAGAGTATCAGTTAATATAATCTCTTTGGACCTTACAGAAATGTGTTAAAATAGTGATACATTTATATATCAATATCATTTAACATTTTTAACGTGAAGGACCTTGCCTCAAGCAAGGTGAAAACATAGCTTATGAGTCAGTTCTCATGGATTGAGTAGAATGGTAGCTACATGCGTTCCCAGAATGCTTAAACACTAAACATAAACTAGAACTTGCCAGTATTTTACATGAGAAAATAACAATAATAAATAAACTAACTTTAAGAGATTGGGCTGAAATATCCTCAAGAAGCTAAATCCTAATATAAGTCCCTTGAGTTGAAGAAAGGTAGACACTTCTATTTTCAAGAACGCTTTTCGGAATAAATAAAAGTTGTGCAATGAAAAGATCGACCTCCCCTCTCATCAAGGAGAGAACACGACGAAAATGAAAATCCTATGTCAATGTCTTCATCTGTTCAACTTTCTCCTTGTAAAGATTGTGAAACTCTTTAGCCAAGTAGTAGAATGGAGCTTCCACGTTCTCATGGTCTTTCTAGAAAAATAAAAGGGAAAAAAAAGTATGTTCTGAGGAAACGAGTTTCCACCATGGAAAGTCGATTGGAAGGAATCTGGGATGGTATAGCACAAAGAGGAGTAATGATATGTCACAGACGGAATCATAAGGAGTAAATACACTTCTTAGCAAGCAGTGCATGGTCTGAACAGAACATACAGACAATTTCACATCAGCGCATTTTCCTTCTGAAGAAACGACACTGGAAAATTTGTTCAAGAATATTATTTTACATCATTTTTTGTAACTAAGGTTTTAAGATAATCCCCACTATACATATATCTAAATACTTCCTAAATACAAAATTGATGACATTTTCTTGGCAGAAACAACAGCAGGCTAAAGGGAACTTTGTGATGTAACCAGAGAGAACTCTTTTCGATGGAGTGTCATAAAGACCAAAACTAAAGTAATCAGAATGACCAATCAGAAGAAAGGATTATACCCCAAAGGGCCAATGGGAACACAAAGTAAAAACAAGCAAACTGCCTAGTGCACAGGAAAATGCCAGTGACCAAGTCATGGTTGGTTTAAGTTTATATCTGATTGGCTATGACAGCAGTGGCACAAGTTTTCTCAGGACAAATTACAGAGCAAAGTAAAGTAACACCAATGCCATCTCAAATTTTCAATGGGTGTTTATGTGAGAAATATTGTTGATTCCTTGTGTAGTTTCATCTTTTGAGGTTTACCTCTAAGGCTTTGTTACTAGTAAGTGGGACTGTCATTATGCTCAATTTTCAGTATACAAAGAGAGGCAACTTACCGCAGAGCACTCAAAGTATTCAAGCCCTTTAGAAATGGCAAGATCTCTGCCTTGTTTTGTTGATATTAATCGTCTTTGTTTCAGGTCTGTTTTAATGGCAACCAGGGCACCTTAAAATCAAATAAAAATTTGTTAAGTCAGGCATCACCACAATTTTGCCTTCCTTCCTTGGCTAACATCTAACAAAAAATGTGTTTAAATAACTGTGAATGTCTGAAAATGATATATGTGAACTGCTGTTTAAGATATGAATATGAAAGTGATCTTCGCAGTAACAAACATTACTTAAGCAGTAGTGAAAACAGGGCCTGAAAAAAATTCAGGCCTGTACAGGATTTTTTATGAATTCACAGTATTGTAAAGGTTATGAGTTTAAATCCTGTACAGATGTGAATTTTTTCAGGCCTTATTTTCACTACTGCTTAAGTAGTGTTCACTGCTGTGGAGATTGCTTCCATATTCAAAATTGTGTTTCTAGTGTTTATACATTTTGGTTATTGCCTTAAGTTATTTTTCTAAAGAGTTTAGGTCATTTTCATCTGATTCTGTTTAACTGCAACTTACTCAACCATTTGAGGCTTCTCTTATTAATTTTCTAATTGCATCTATGTAAATGTCAGAGACTCACCTGGTAAACTTTGGTTTGGTTTTTTTGCTCTGCATCTCTCATACCACTTGTTACAGGCATTAAATGACTGTTCATTTGTCACATCATAACCCACAAGGAACATGTTTGGCTGTGTCCACTGCATGAGCAATAAAAAACACATTTTTATTTACATTGTTGGAGCAATTGGTCATCTTTTACTGGACAACTTACAACCTAGCCCCTACTACAATTCTAGAATTCTAATGACTGAGGAGTGAAGTAAAGATATAGCTACATTCATTTAATACAGTACCAGATCAATTTTAACCTGGTTGAAAAAATTGACGAGACATTCTGTTGATATGGAAGGATTATTCATTCTTGCTTGGTTCATATCAAACTGACAAACCAAAAGAATTTTAAGTTTTATCACAAGTCTCACCACATAATGCATTGGCCCATGTATAGAGTGCTACATTATCAAATCCTTCATGGTATCTCTGGCTCAAGGCTACCATGTGGTCCAAGTGACTGTCTAGGCATTGCGTCACACCATTAAAATTTTCAACCACAACAGCTAAAACTTTGTCCTTTGTTTTAGCAGGTAGATTTTTGAGTGACAATGTCCACAATACATGCTTGGCTAGCATAGTCCTACATGGACAGAATATCTAAAGTATACACATCTGATTCAATAATAAATTGCCTGCTTTCATGATAAAGGTACCTACATGTTGTTGTACTATGTCTGCAAACATTTCTTTTCCTGCAGAGTCATAAATGTAGAGTTCCTAGCAAAAATAATAGAAGTCAAAAAGCCTGTGGAAATTCTCTTAACCCTTAAACCATCGGTATGCATATTCTCCATACTGTTCTCTGTACATTTCCTATCCTGCTGATAAGGAGAATGTGTTTAACAATCAAGAGCTTCTTTAGTTGGTGATCATTTCCTTTATTCTCATGACCTTAATGTATGATTCAGGGGTGATATTGTGAGGAGAAATTAGATGCTGGTCACTCTAAGGGTCAAAGTGTTAAGTGGCCAACTCAACCCCTGTGTTTCCAAAGGGTTTCTTGAATGGGAAACATCATCCATTTCTGAGTGATGTGCTTCTAAATTACAAACATAGCAAAGGTAGTCTCGCATCATAATTGTGATCAAGCTTGCCTTCTTAGTTCAAGTAATTTAACACCAGCAGAGTGACGTATCCTGCTAGTTAAGCTTCCTGATGCTAGTAAAAGTACAGTGATGTCTGGATTAGTTTTTAGGTGCTTTAGTTATTACTCAGTAATTCAGATCAGTTGTTCTATTACTCAGCTTGCTAGCACATATACATCAATTGCACTTGCCTTGTAAGCATCTGTCTGGGTTTTCTTCCAGACGGCCTTTTGAATTTTTGTTTTGTTGATATTATGTTTGATTATTCTTTTATTATTAGCTTAAACGTATCAAATAAGAGTTGTGTATTTGTGAAAATATTAGTTGTTAAGTAATCTTGTAATGATAAAGACTGTCTTTGTCCCAAACATTAATTGCTTGGTGACTTTGTGTTATGGGTTAGAGATTTTACATTCATTTGATTTAGAAATTTTAGTCTGTAAAAACAAATTTCTGCTATCAAGAAAGACCTACCACACTGTCAGAAGTCTCTGGGATGTTAACAGACTTAATACACACTTCCACTCCTGCTGTCTGAAAACGAGTTACAAACACTTGATTTTTATGTGAAGTGAAAAAAAGGATGACCAAAATTTCATTTGGTGCAATTTTATTAGGGTGCAGTCTGTATATGATACAGACTCAGCCACAGTTTGAAGCTTATCTTAGTTTTCAACCCAGAGTCTAGCCAGAAAACAACAGAATAAGGAAGAAAACTGGCCACAGCACACAGGTTTTCCCTGCTCCCTAAAGGAGGATCAGCTACAAAAGGAATTGGTGGGAAGTAAACAGGATGGAATATTCTTGAAAGACCTTCTTCCTTGTTCCTTAGGTGCCCAATCTTCATAAATTCCATCTGCATCAAGAAATAATCAATCCCTTGATACAAATTTTACTCAAATAATCTATGCAGCCCCCTATTCCTTGTCCAACACAATATTCATGGGACTCGTGAAGTACAAGTAATCAAATTCTCACAAGACCAGATAACCCCCGAGCTTACATATAACTTGAGAGATATATCGTCATGAATAAAGCCTTTTTGGTGAATCATGATCCTCTCATAACAAAACTATAGAGAAAGCTTACCATTGTATAATTTTTCGGAAAGTGTGTACCATCGCTGTGAAACGTTTGTGTTAGGGCACTCTTACCCACACATGGGTCACCTGAAACACAGATATAAAATCTATTTTATTGGCAGGAATCAGCTCACAAACCGTTCCTTTCGATGTAGCTAGCAGAGCAAAACTCCCATCACTTGCCCATCAATGTTACTGATACACCACATCGACAAAGATACAATGACCAACGATATAAGCACACGCTTTGAATTAATAACATGAATATAAAAAAGGCGTTGGGTACTAAGATAAAGCAAAGCTTCGTTAATTCAAAGCTAAATCTATATTCTAACCTGCAAAAATTACTTGGGCTCGAAGAACCACCATTTTGTTTTCTGCGAGTCAGCGGTATGTGTAGCGGAAGTCAGCTGGTTACCGGGACGACGTCTTGTAATCAGAAATACCTGAAGTGACTTTTAGTTTTTCGACCAAACAATCGGTAGTTTACTATGAATTTATTTGCCATAGAATCCACTTGAGGTTGTCTAGATTGTCCACTTAGCAAAAATTTTGGATGGCAAGCATTTATTTGCCTCCGATCGCTCGTAAAAAGAAGGTAGACGGCTACCCACGGTGAGTTTGACTTCGAACGCTTCCCTTCTAAATATTTAATATATTTAGGGTAAAATCTTCTCGGATTCTTAAGGTAAATAGAACTGTTTGTGGTCTGGTAATTGACCATTCATCTTCAATTAGGAAAGTGTTACTTTTAGATCTCAAGTTGTCGTTGAAAGGGAAGGGAAAGCATACAGGTCTATTCTGGCGCCACCGCGCGCCTTTCGATTCTCCTAGTGCTGTATCCTAACAAATTGAGGTTTTTCATTTAACCTGCAAGGGCCTGTGCAATGAAATCGTAAACATGACAATATTCAACAGTCGTAGTCACATAAAACGCCTTTAGTTCTTAAAAATATCCTCTATGATGTGAAACCCAGGCTTTATTCCAGTTGTAATTCTCTACCTAATTTCGCACAGGTCATGCTAATTAATTAATCCTATTCATTTTTTTGTCTTAATTATTTCGAAATACCGGCTGGACTTTCTATTTTGCTGATGGAATAGAATGTGGAAATATTTTAAGTTGTTACATACTTGTCGCAGTGTTAAGGGGTGTGAGTCCACTTCGCTGTCGCTTTTCATTTCGATCGAGTAGAATTTTGGATAAATATCCTGTTGTGTAAGAAAGAGGTTGCTAATGACGGCAAAAATTGTTCCAAAATTCTTGGGTGAGTTTGTGCTTCTTGGCCTGAAAAATTCCAGGCCGTTTTCTTTGTACTTATATCTTAATCTGACACTTGTCTGGAGGTAATAACAATGAAAATAAAAATAATGAAATAAATAATAAAGTAACGATCGTTAACAGCAGAATTTACAATAATGATTATAGTTATGATGCTAAGATCTACCTAAAACAGAAAGATCAATGGAGATACCATTTGGTACAAAATTTTTATAAAAAGAAGTAAGTTAAAAGCTGTGGAATAGCTATATACTATTAATTTTGATAATAAGATAATTATCTAAAAACTATATTTTCCAAATATCATCTTTGGTACTGGTAATCCTGTACATCCTAACATTAGAATTATCATTCTCCACACTGTTTTTTTTAAATTTATAGTACTGACATGGAGAATTTGTTTGACAAATGAGAACTTCCAAAATTGATGATTATTTTCATTATTCTCATGACCTTTACATCTGATTCATTAGTGATACTGTGAGAAGAAATGAGAAGCAGTAACTCTTAGGGGTATATGGGTCATTGGTGTGTTATGCTTATATTTGGGTACGATCTTTGTTTACAATTTAATGATTTTATTCTATTTGCAGTCATGACACCTCCAGGGTTTTTGCTGATCTGCAAGTTAACTATTCACCTGGTCAAACAAGCTATGATGCACATTATATTGGACATGCAATTTTATCCCCTCAACAGAGTACAAAGTCTGGTCCAAACAATAAACCTCACCCCACTAATGTGACTTTTTTGCGCCAAAATCCACGATTTATTTGTGAGCCAATCTGTTATGTGAAGACCAGTGTAGATTCCCCCGTGAAATACCCATCATGGTGGCCAGAAGAATTGCCAGAAAAATCCACCAGGATCCCTCAAAAAAGCTTTGATTCAACTGTGCGCTCAGATTATCGTCCTCCACCATTCTCCCCTGGAAAGATAACAAGGTACAGCAGTAACCTTGCCCTGCAAGTGGTACCTGCAGGGGCCTCTGGGATCCTACCTCAAGCTGCATATAAAACAGGACATACAACACCAAAGGTTGTAGAGAAAATCTCTTATGAACATCAGTTTAACTCAAGATTGGATCCCAGTCACCCAATAAGAGGGCGTCGACATGGTAGCTTTATATGGAAGGTTGTGTCTGATTTTGGCAGAAAAAATAGGAAAGGTAGCAAGCCTGTGGAGTATGCATACATGAAAGATGAATCGGCAGATACAGAGACTGCTCAACCTGCCACAGGAAATGCTGAGAATGGGGAGAAAACTGTAGAGGTTAATGATCCAGAAGGGACCCTTCCTTCATCTGATGAAAATTGAGTCTTGGCTCAAAATTACAAACTTTAAGTTGTGTGAAGTGACTGAAATTAGAAGCAAATATCTGATTACATTAAAATGGTTTGGTTGTGGTGCCTGTAAAGTATAAAACCTAGTGAAACTCTAATTCTTAACTAAAAATTATTTTATCCCACCCACAACCCTAAATGTTTTAGGAATCATTTTTTTTTTCTCTTTTCAATTTTGTACTAGTTTTTATTAAAACTCATACTTGTTCATGCTGTATTTACCAACAATATTTGATAAACAGTATATTGTCAGTAATAAAAAGTTGTGAATTAGGTATGGAAAAGAGTTAAACCAAATTTTACCAACAAGCTTTCATAAAGTCAATCTGATTTGAACATGAAAAACTTCAATTTATCACTTGAGCTATATGCCAGCCAGAGGAAATTTTTTTCTGAGGAGAAAATAACAACCAAAATTCCAGGTGAGGAGTTTATCACCGATGGATGTTTTTGTTTCAGGCTGTTACTGAAACTGGGCTATTAATGAAACCCTTACACCCTAAAATCAGTATCCATGTTCTCTATACTCCTCTCTATACAATTCCTTTTGGTACCAGCAAGGAGAATTTGTTTAATAATCAAAGCCTCTTAGGTTGACAATCATTTCCTTAATCCTTGTAATCTCAATGAATGAGTCTGCAGTGTTACCATAAGGAGAAAGTAGATGCTGGTCACGCCTACGGGTTACCTCTTCACACCCTAACGTCAATATGCAAATTCTCCACACTATTCTTTATACATTTCCTAAGGTGCTGACAAGGAGAATTTGTTTACCAATCAAAAGATTCCTTCCCTGGTGACCAATTTCTTTATTCTCATGACCTTGATGTGTGATTCAGAGATAATGTAGTAGGGAGAAATTAGATGCTAATCACTCCTAAGGTTTTAAAGGTTAAGGGGTGAAAATGACATTTATACTGAATTTTGAAGTCAACAGGCAACCCAACAAGGACATCTCATTTCATTTTGTTCAGTATTTCCCAACACCTCATTTGCAAGGTAGAGAAACAGGTCATCCAAACTCTCATATTTAAATATGCCACCTCCTTATTTTTAGACCAACAGCTCTCTCCCTTATTCCAAGTTGTTAAGGCAAAACTCCTTCCTTTGAAAACTGTTCATCTCCTCTGTATTACAAACCGGAAGCATCGAGTTTGCAAACGTTCATACCTAAAGTAATTTGCGCTTATGGTGGTGAGCGCCATTGTAAATATCAAAGCTAGCTCCTTTATTTTCAGAAAATTCTAAAAGGTTCGGGGTGATGGTAACTTTGGAGGAGCAGGGAATTTCTTCCAATCATCAGGCACAGTTTGAAACCCGGAAATGTACAGCGTACAACTGGAGAATGAAATTATTTGATATACATTTGTGTTCTGATTAGATGCATTTATCTGACAATGGAAAGGCGCATGAATTCATCTTGAGAGAAAAGCCAAAAGTGAGTTATATTAAGAGAGGTAAACTTCGGTAGCGCCTAACTTAATTAAATCGTATACAGCAATAACCACGCCCAAAATCGGACATGCTCAAGACATATTGAAGGGGAAAGGTTGTTTTATCTAGCCACGAGATTGAAACTGCCGGCTTACCCCAGATTAAAATGAGCGCGCAAAGTTAAAAAGTTTTCCATCGAGAACTTAGTAAAAATCAAATGCCAAGCTCCGGGATAAAAGCAGTAAAAGTGAAGAATGCCCCAAAGAATGAGGAAACAAGCCGTCACGATATTCAAGAGCAATTTTCAATCTACCGTGGAAAGATATGGGTTTGGTATCCATTTGGTCGGCCTTGAAAATTCGCGCCATATTTCTTATCCAATCAGATGGACAACAAATACGAATGGGGACCTTAACTCGCGTTTCCCGCGCCTGCGGTAACTTTGCCTTGTGCCTTATTCCTTATCAAATGTTCGAAATTCCTCCTCTCCGCTTGGCTGTTTCGTGGTTAGTGTTGATTCGTTTCCGATACACGATTACAAAGTCTACAAAGTGCTCTCGCACAGCTATTGTAAACTTTATCCCTTTTTTTCATTAAGCACTGCCTTTGTTCAAAATATAAAGGTGAGGAAAAGCCTTCGTCACAGACTTTATTTTCTACTAGATTATTCATCATCGTATGTATCACAATTGTTCAAAGAACTCGAAGGGTTATCAAAATTTAGAATCAAATCCATTGCCACATCATTGCATTTGTCTAGAATATTACTATCTGCGATGTTTTCACACTTTCACACTGACCATCCGCTTTCAGAGGTCGTCATAAGCGCCGACCTCACAATACTGCGAGGAAAAATTTCGACGAAGTAAATATAGAAAGAAAGTGTTTTTGTTCATTTCTGATCCTCTGTATGAAAGAAATTCGCCGTCCGGTGTTCATTATACAGATTATACACTTTTTCACACTACTTTGCACATGTCAACAACGATCAAAAAATTTCAGTCCATGTGCTTTAGTTCTTTCATCTGTCTCCAAAACTGTTTACAAATTTCGTGGCTTTTACAACGTAGTTGCTACTGATTTATCATCTAAGCCGCCTTCATAACGGGGATTGTCACTGGCCTTTCCCTGTTCTACGTCTTCTGTATTCTTTTTCATTTGATGATGCGATGCGTGTCGATCCATTTGAAAAGCTGCAAACGGGTACAGAAACATCACGACGAAGAAATCCTCTGCCATGCTGCCATGTATTCCATCCTCTAATCTCATTCCCGTTCTGATGGCTGTTGCTACACCAAAGAACAAAAATAGAACTGCCCATCCGACATAAGAGATTCCTTCTACTGGAATCAACTCTGCTACCATCATGGCAATCCAGGAATAAAATGGCACACTCATGAGGACCATGCGACAGGCCAAGGCTAAGGGGCTAATGCCTTTCTTCCTGTCTTCTGCAATGGCTATTACGTACCAGGGAGCAAAAATGGCGAGAAAAAGTTTGAAGAAACCTCTACTGGAAGGTCGAGAGATCGGATGGAACAAAGTCACGTTGAACTGTGGACCGTTTGCATCCAAGTCGCCATCTTCCATTTGAACAGCTCGCCACAATGCCACACACATGAAACACAATAGGATGGTGTAAGGAAGGCCAGCTACAATGGACACTGCTTGTAAGGCGTTCAGAGCATCTGTCCCTCCAGCATACAGCAGAGCAGTTGCGGTAGCACCCTCCGTCAGGGCCCAAAAGATACGTTGGGGTATGGGGGGGTCGGGATCACCGTTGGCAGAGAGGCAATCTATGACCAGTGAACCACTGTCCGAGCTGGTGACAAAATAAAGGATTATACCACCAATTAAGGACACGATGGACAAGAAGTCTCCAAGGTCACCATACTGGTCCATCAGGTCGAACCACATGTCATTCTTTGGGCGACAGGAGAGTCGGTAAAAGCCTTGAAATGACTTTGTGGCAGTTTTCCCTCCGAATGGCGACGAGCAGGTGACGTTCGCCAAGGCTGCGTTTCGTTCCATTCTTATCCCTGCTCCGCCGAAAATAGTGAGCCACAGAAAGGTGTAGAAGATAGGTGCAGTAAGGGTCGCATTGATAAATTCTCTGATCGTTCGGCCTCGTGAAATCTTCGCGATGAACATTCCAACGAAAGGGGACCAAGCAATCCACCAACCCCAGTAGAAGATGGTCCAGTCATTCATCCACTCAGCGGCTTCGAGTTTATCTGGGGCATTACCGAGTTGTGCAAAAGCATCTGTGTGGAATCCAACCTGTACAACATACTGGAGATAATATCCAATGCTCTGAACATAGAGGTTGAGTAGATACCATGTATCATCGTAGAACAAAATAATCAACATCAGCATCATACCGATGACAAAACATAGTTCGCTTAGCCGCCTGATGCCAAGTTTCAAACCACTGATCACAGATAAAGTTGCACAGGCCGTTACTCCCCAGATGGTGATGATTTGATTAGTAGCACTGAAGGTGATGTTCTTGTTGAGTCGTCTGAAACCAGCGTTGAGCTGTATGGCACCAAGACCAAGACTGGTGCAGACCCCAAACATAGTGCACACCACTGATAGGATGTCGATGAAGTCGCCAACCCATCCGAATATTCCGTTTCCAAGTTTTTCACATTGTCATCGGAAGACCCTTTCGGCAGCTGAGGAAGGCTAGGAGAAGTCCAACCACTACGTAGACAATCCATCCGTGAATTCCCCAGTGAAAGAAAGTGAGGTTCATGGCATCCTGGGCCTGTTGGTTGTCGGAATACCTAACGGAAAGTTCAATGTTTCAATATCAGTGGTTCATATTTTTGTTTACTTATGACCTCAGGGACCGATCAAGGGGGTGTGGGGAGGTTGGAGTTCTCTTTTGGGGGAGGGGATCACAAGGTTTTCAGAGGAAAGGGAGGGGGGGACTGTAGAAAATTGAATACCAATTAATTGCCTGGAGGGGGGAGGAATTATAAGGATATCACAGAGCCATGTGCGGGAGGGGTCGGAATTCAGGTAAGTTTTATCTTTAGTCGCTGGTGAAAGTGATTACGGTGCAAATGAAATGTAATTTGGATTGAACACATCAAAAAGCGAGGCTCATTACTAGAATTACTTTTGTCCGAGCAGACGTAAACTGGCCTATTCTAGGTTACCACAACCATCGTCTTAAAGTATTGTTATAGTTAAGGGAGCACTTACCTTGCATAATATCGATTTCCATAATGTCCAGGTGCATAATGCCAAATGGGCTCCGCTTTTGACAGAGATAAAACAATAGAATAACATTACTCGGTCAAATTCTCTAAATAATACTCTTTCGTAAAGCATGGGTCATATTGAAACGATCATCGATGCATGTTTCTGCAGTTAATTTGTCTACTATTTACCTACTCCAAAGTAAAAGAGACCAATTCCGATACCAGCAGCAAATAACATCGTGAAGTACGTAGCATCGTTGAATTCCGGTTTCTCGTGCGATTTTCCTAGCTTCATTTTGGAATACTTAGAGAAATAGAGGACAACTATGAACAAAGCCCACGCGTCTTGAGTTCCGATGTAAAGCCAGGTGCATTTCAAAGTTATCCATCTTCGCCATTCGGTCATGTTTTCGCTGGCCGCTTTCGCCTCCAATACGCACCATACCACAAAAGCCCAAATAATGAGGGCGGAAAATAGAGAAACAACTGGGTTGAGACGAACACTGAATGAACAGCTCAGTCGGCCGAGTTGGCAACAAGGAATCTTGAAACGAAACCATCGACATTTCTCTGATGCCCTTTCTTTGACATTCATTCTGCGATTTTCCTCTTGAGTTTAAATTAAGTATGTTATGCGCATTTTTATTTATAAGCAGCGAGGATCATAAGAGTATTGCAACACAGGCATTTTTGTGAAAGTTATTACAAGCGATAACTGGTTGATATTGCAGAAATTACCATTTCAATGTAAATCTCGGCACCTAAGACAAATGGAAAATCAATTCTCTTACACAGTTCTACTAGCAATTGACGAAAGAAATATTCCGTCCCGAGTTGGAAAGTGATGACATTCCGATGTCTTACCTTGTATCTCAACTTGAGTCACATGACTGTCGAAACAGGAGATCCATGCGCCAATGATTGTTACGGAGCCCAATAAGTGCCATCTCGTATTTCTTATCAACTTTTTTTTTTTTCACGAAGTCAACTTTTTTACGCGCCTATAACTTTTATTCACGACTTCAACCTTTTTTTCGCGACTTTGGCTTTTTTTCCCGACTTCAACTTTTTCCCATGACTTCAACATCCCGGCACGACTTTAACTTTCCGGTACGACATAAACATTCCGCCACGACTTTAATTTCCCGGAACTACTTTCTCTGGTCTGTTATTCAACAGTACCTACAAATGTTTACCTTAGGATTGAAGGTCACCTTGTCCAAATTTTATGGGCAATAAGCTTTAGTATAATTTTTTTAAAGTTTTGTGACGGTTAAGAAAGAATCAAAGCCAAAGGGATTATTCTAGTATTATAGTTATTCTATTGAAGGTAAGGCCAAGAGAAAGTCGTGCCAAGAAAAATGGCGCGGCGGAAAATTAAAGTCGTGCCGGAATGTTGAAGTCATGAAAAAAAAAGGTGAAGTCGGGAAAAAAAGTTGAAGTCGTGAAAAAAAAAAAAAGTCGATGAGAAATACGAGATGGCACTAACTGGGCTCCGTTTTTCTCGCGCAAAAATTGATGTGAAAACATAAGAAACAACTTCTGTCACTTAATATTTGCGAGAAAATTAATACGTCCGTGAAAAACTGTAGAAAGGGAACAAAATTAGGGAGAGGAATACTCGAAACTTTTCCTCAGATGCAGACATTTAACCGATGTGTTGCTAATTTCTTGTCGAAGTAAATTTGCACTTGTACTTCGATTGACAGGTAACAAGAGAAAACAGTGGGACAGAGGAGGCGCTTGCCAGTCTCTCGATGGGAAGTGGTTTTTTTCGAGACGTCCGCATAATAGTGAACATCTATCTGCTGAAATTTCTTTGCATGATTCAAAGTTAATTTCAATCAGGCGGAGGCTTTTTCTCAGGGCTATAAGGAACACGAAACTTGAAACGAAACGTAGCTCGTGAAGCCACTCTCTAACAAACTTTTGAGTAAGCGAAACACAACTCTGGCTTTCTAAGAAATATCAGAAAACCACGATGTGGACTTCTGAGGAAACAGAATTCCCTTCCTGCTCGCAACTAAAAACAACTTCAGTGGAATCGACATTTCGCGGCCGACGCAATGATTTTCCCTCTCTGTCTCCTTATTTTCTCTTGTGACTACGTATTCCAGTGGGGAAAGTGACTGATTAATAACCTATAGGAACATCAATAGCGGGGTTAAAGAAAAAAGTTTACAATGAAGACAAGAATCCCACAGTAAGTCTAAGAAATATATATATATTTATTTTTGGACACTATCGAAGTGCCACATTGTAAGCATTAGCACAATAAATTCTCCCGTTAATTTTCTAGCAGGCCTTTACCCAAAAACAGCAACACATACTCTTAAAAATATCAATTGGAGACTATTTTTTGGTCCTGTACAAGATAAATAACGGCATTTTCAACCTCGTTATCGGTCCTCTCAGTTTCATGATCAAACTTGGAGACTTAGCCGAAGTGCAAGAGAGGAAAAACGAAAGAGAAACAAAGAAACGTCGAGGACTGTAGAATGTTGAGTATGCCAAAATGTAGGTTATGATTCCTTAATGAATATATACAATTATACAATTTGCACTAGAAAGATATTGAGGTTAAAATTGATGTGGGGATAAAACTATTGAACCGATAGATAGGTATTTTCGACACACATGCACTAAAATATAATTTTGCTTGGATTCGTCAATGTGATCGCACAATTTAAAAATGCGAGACTCGTAAACAAAAGATTCAAGCCATAGTAAAGAGCAGAGATAAAGAAACGGGCGCAAAATACTAGCCACAAAGGCAAGTTCATTGAGCGACTGATTGACTCCAAGCAGAAGTTCTTCGCTCGGATTTCAAAGAAATAGGAACCCCAGAAGGGACATTGTTGTTCTCGATACATCTTAAGGGCCTGCGTCCCAGACTTGAAGCCGATGGTTTCGCACAATTTTCCACTACCTCCATATTTTCATCTGGCTCTAGAACTACTGGCACGCACACTTCGCGCGCGCTGTGAATACCATTGTCTATATGCACGGGTTCTGAGTCTGTCTCCATGTCCTGCACTTCAAAATCAAACCCATTTTGAAATCCAGCTGGATGAAGAATACTCGGCGTTGAGCTTGTTCTAGGAAAATCCTCCCAGTTAAGGAAGGAAGAGTCCCTTGATTGCTTGTTTAACATGGCGTGTTCACCATCAGCTAGCTCGCTAAACAATTCCTCGTCAAGAAGAGGATCATCAATGTTATGTTCACCTTCATCTTCCATATCTCCCTCGTAACCACTCTCAGACAAACTGCTGATACTCGTATTCAAAATACTGTCGTCAGCATTGATGTGCTGCGCAAGCCCAACATGCTTCGCCACTGCTTGACCGCGAACAAAGCGTTTTCCACAGAGCGCTTCAGAATGGAGAAAAAGACGTAACTCTTCTCGGTTGGGAACCTGGGTACAATGTTTAAAACAAAAATTTAAGATCACCTAATTTTAAAAACGTCATGCGTCTTTCCAGTAGGTAAATAATTTTTTCGTGTAGCTATGCTGAAATAAAATTAGGGATTTTCTCGGAAGTGATGTAAAGGCGGTCAAAACTGTCGCCAAAAATCTTCGCATAGATAAGAAACAATAATTTAGCAAATGACACATTACACATCTGAGGCGGCATTAATATTCGTGAATGTACGAAGTTGAAAACATACCTTTATTTCGCTAACTTTCAAGAACCTTTCATCTGAATATCTACAAGGTAAAAGAAGCACTAAATGTTTTAAAACCGAAAATACAAAATCAAAACAAACAAAAAAACTAAACTTAACTATACTAAAAAACAGCAAATAAATCAGCCAAAAAACCAAGATGGCTTTCAACATATGTAAAGGTAACACTTAATCACAGAAAAAAGATAACAACACAAAAAAGATAACTACACAAAAACTAAGACAACGAACAGCCCCTCCTTTTCGGCGGAGTCCTTCGCGCGAGTAAAAAAAAAAAATTAATATCGGCAAGAGAAAAATTGATGTTGGCACGCCGTCATAACTTCAATTTTTTCTTTCACTAGCGTAGCTGACCTCGCCGTAAAGCAAGGACGGCTCATAGTCTCACAAGAAAAAAGAGCATAAAACAAACCTTTGTTTAATAGCTTTCAGCTTTACATTTCTATGATCTGTAGGGCAATCATCAACTAGGCTAAAATCAATCAGAAACAACACCTTTCATCAACTGAACAATATGTAAGAAAGAAATACTTTATACCGTACTAACGAGTTGTTGACGAGCTATCCGAGTTTGCATTGGTTTCTCTATACATCGCTCTGTGATTGGCCAGCCTTAACCAATCAGATACAAACCTTAATCCAGTCACGATTTGGTCGCCCGCATTTTCCCGCGGTTTGCTTTGTTTCACTTTGAGTTCTCATTGGCTCACAAAGGTATTTTCCTTTTTTCTGAAAATCTGTTGTGATTACAGTGATTTTGGTTTTGCGACGCTCAATCAAAATTCGCTCTAGCTCTACCCAATCAACAATAAACGTAAGCAGTCTTCATAACGAACCGAAAAAAGTTGTTACCATTGTTGATGTAAATGAAGAGTACAATCCAGAAGATCCACAAGACTGAGGCCAGTCATTTCATGCATGTGTAGTGGCCATGGTGTTGCTGTTGTGAAAAGGCAATGAAAAAAAATATAAATCCTTTAATTAGCAATATTTTTCAAAATCAGTAATCTGGTATTGAACAGCTTCTATAAGAATTAATGCTACAAGTCTGAGGGATAATGTCCAACGTAAAATTATAGTTGTTGTTGTAGTTTTTTTTAAGAAGCAAAGTGATACCTAAATAACAAGGCAGCATTAAAAAAATGTTGTAGCTGGAGATCAGTGAGAAGTGACACAGAACTTTCTACACACCTGAATAAAACTAATTCAAGCCATTTACCTTGAGAACTCTCCTTAATAGTGAAAGGATTTGGTGATACATGATGACTTACATTCTCCCTTGGAAGTGGCTTGAAAACTTAGAGATATCCTAATACTATCCACTTTAAACATTGTTTTGGAAGAATGTACTAGGAGAAGGTTAAGTTTTAGGGTAAAATTCAAAGGGAAAAGTAGCGGTATTCAGTTGGTTGAGAACATCTTACATATTGTTTCTGTAACAAGTTGTTATATCCACTTACCAATTTTTTGAATTGCATTTGCCAACAAAACTGACGATGCAGCTGTCACAGCTGGTGAGAACCTAAAATGAATGAAATATGAAATACAAAACAAATTAGAGTAAATGTTTGGAACAAAAGAAGGAATTATTAACTCACTTGATAAGTACTTAACAGGGAAAACTTACCTTCCACATTCTGTATGAAGAATGGACAAATCTGCCACATACCCTGCAATACATTCAGTCTTTTGACTAACCTGAAATAAAACATACCAATCAGAAATATAAAGTTTATCTTTCATATGAAACTTGAAGATATTCCATGTTTGTATGTGTTGAATTGTTTTCACATTAATTCACTCTGATTGCTGTTGTTCTATGCATGTTTCTTCCTAGCAGTTAAATAATAACACTTTGAAACACTTACTGCTGCTAAGGAACAAAACAGCTGTAGAAAATCGGGAATGGTGAGAACCTGTGGACAAATCCAAGCATTACTCATCACCAATCTGACGACCAGTTAAGGACTAAGAATATAAAGTGCAATGTACAGAGACAAGAGGGAAAACAGCTAACAGTTATTACACTACTGTTACTAAAGAAGTTTACTACTGTTAGTAACAGATATCAGAAAAACTTACCCTGACTTGACCCTTGATAGAGGACATCACCTCACCCATCATTCTGAAGATGAAACAAACAAAAATCAACTCTCTTTAAAACAACTGCCCAATACCATGAGAAGTCTAGACATGTGGCTTAATGTAGAGTCTTTGTGGCTTGGTGGTAGAGCTTTATAGTATTGAGTGTTAGGGTTTGAGGCTTGATTCACGAGTTTTTTCTCTTTATCCCAAGCTCCTGATGAGACCAAAAAACATCATCCCCTTTCTTAGGGTCAGACCTCAGACCTCTTAGATTTTTCACTCAAAGCTTGCACACCCTGAATATCTGTTTTCTCCCTTTAACTCCCAGGAGTGACCAAGAGAGAATTTCTCCTTACAATATCAATACAATGTCAAGCAGACAAGTGATGAGAATAGAGTTAAATATCAGTGAGGGAATTATAAGTTGATCCAATACCAAAATCTTCAAACTAACATCACAAGAACTGTACGTCAGACTGTAAGGAAAATACCTAATGAGATCTTAGGAGTTAAAGGGTTAACATTATTTATGGACCCTTCATATCCAGAAGTATTGTTTGAAAATCTTCTCATTCCAAATAACAGTATCAGTATTGTCAAACTAACCTTACTACTTCTTCATACTTGTAGGTGCCATCAGTTAACCAGGCAGCTTCCCTTATGGTGACAATATCTGTTCCTTGAAACCTGTGGAGATTGTAAATGTTAAGATCAGATATAAAACTATAAAGCAATGTGGCTCAGTACAGCAAGCAACCAAGCTGTCATTATTACTACCTCAAAACAAGTGTTTCTTTGCCCTAAGAAAAGTTTGAGACCTGATGAGCAATTGCAATTAGAGAGAGGTCTGCAAGGGCTCTCTTGTTATTACTAAAGGGCCAGATCCCTTACAGACCTCATGCTGACTAGCTTTCTTCAAGGCCTTAAACTTGTATTGTACTTGTGCACAAAAAAAACACTCATGCAGCAGCATCAATAATGAGGGAATTTTTGTAAGCTTGGTTCACTACCAGTACAAAAGAATGCTTCAGTTTAAAGAGATGTGACATACCTTGCTGCTATCAACATGCAAGTGATTCCAAGAAGTTGCAACTCTGATCTCTGCACTTTGCGTTGCATTAAATATTGATCTACACAGCTAACAGCGATATGAACTATCTGACTTGGAAAATCCTGTTTGACAAAGAGTAAGTGGATGTCTGAGTGCAGTGTTGACTCACAATGTCAGATCTGTCACATCACACTGTAAATTCAGGACACTTAGAAGTAAATTAAAATTACAAATACCTTCATCACAGCTACTTCTACAAGCCAGTCAACTAAGATATATCTGAAAGTAAATGAGCAAAATTACTTTGAACTTTGAGACCAGAGTTCGGTAACAATGGCACGATTGTATTTTAGCCCACCACATATAAAATGAAGGTATGAAGACAAAGTTGGTAGTTTCATATAAAAGTTAACATAAAAATCAAATTTGAGAATTTGATGTAGTAATGAAGCACAAAAAATTTCTCCCTCTTAGCCCAATGTCTTCATGCTTTACAAGGCCATGTTTCATTTAAAGATCTATTCAACCTTATTTGAAATGCATCACTATCACTAAAGAACACTGGTTGAGATTCAATGCATTGTGTCCAACTTAATCTATGTACGGAAGTAAATCTTTACCTCATTGTGCTGTTGAGTTCAGTTTGAAACTTAAAAAGCTTGTGGCTATTAAGTGGCCTAGATCTTGAGACAAACTGCATAAAAATGAAAAAAAGAGAAGGAAAAACACATTAGACCTTTACAGGGCAGTTAATTTCATATGTACAGAAATGCATGCAGTAATGAATATGGCAAAAAATTGTCAAATCCACCAAGTTGATTTTGCTTTGAAGAATTTGATTAAAAAATTTGTCAAAATTATCAATCCATTAACATTCACTCAGTTTCGTGGAATTTCATTAATCTGTAATTTTCGTCCCTGCATACTTTCTGGACATAAGTGAAGTGGGTATTTCACAGGATCATGGCATGTATTTTAAAAAATGGAACATATAAATCATTCCATACAGTGGTATGCAAGTGTGATCAGACATATTTTTGACAAGAGCACAAAAAATACTAAGGTTTGTGCATAGATTTACCTGTGATGTAAATTCTGCCACTTGTGTTTTAGTGACCCCACCCAGATTTCCTTTAGCATATTCAAGGGCTAGAGTGAGTTGAGCATCAGGATGACTGGTTTTGGCACAGTCTCTCAGTTCACGTAGTCTCTCCAGTTTTGAGTAAGGTTCCATTGGACCTTCGCAAAATCTTAATTTCCATAGATCATATGCAGCATGACAAGACCCTTGCTTTGCAGCATTTTTCAGCCATTGCAGACTCTCTTCTTTTTTCTGCCCATCCTGAAATACAAGTAAAATGTACTAATTGACATAATAGGTGGGCTAAAAAGGAAAATATTTGGCCTGCATTAAGGTGCAAACTCCATGATTTAGTACCAAAATTTTCCCATCTGGCTTGATGTAACTCAGTCTCTTTCAACTTGCATTGAGGGGCTGTATATGTTGTGCTGTGCCCCTTTTATGGCAGCTTAGGCCCTGTCTGGGCCATTGCCTTTGACTTATGTACAAAAACCTTCCCAAGTTTCTCAATAACAGTGTGTACAGGGATTGACAGGTCAGGGGTTATTGGAGCTTCTAATTGACTGATACATTGCTTAGCACACTGTGATCTAGTCTAGAATTGATGCTTAGCCATAAGTATTCTGACCTGCTGGGAATTGTAAAAATAGGATTCACTCTGTGCAATTACATACCTCATGCAAACTAAGGATTTTTCCTACACTGTACAACATTGAGTTATTGACCTGAAAATAGATAAATATCACTTATTAAACATGTTATGGGGGAAAAGTGTGTAAGAATTACTTCTTTGTTCTTCCCCAATGAATGGTCTACAGAATCTGGGGTCATTGTATTGTGTTCATGAAAGAGATTTGTGACACTGGTGGTGCCTCTCTCTGGTTGAGAGTATCAATAATTGACAGAAAACTGCTAGGGAGGCCTGCTGAAATGCTAAGGGTAATCTGCAATGGACTTCCACACCTTCAGGGGAGGAGGGGGGGAAAGAAGCCTGGCACCAGTAGAGGAGAGGAGGGTCAGAGGATTTTGGCTACATAACAATATTTACCTGATCCACCCATAGAGCTCTGTAAACATTCTTACAATACTCCCTTATTGGCTATCAATTTCATATAGTGTGCCTGTATACTCTGTTGTATCCTTCTGACTATCCCCTCCCCCCCTCCTCCTTTGCAATAAATGATTACTGGTTCCTAACTATATGTTTCCCATAAACTGTATAGCTCACCACTGGATCTGAACAGAGCTCCACCATACTATTGAACACACAGGATTTACAGCACACACCAGAAGGTGCCCATGGAGGACGCACAAAAAACCATGTAAATGGTGCACCATTTTGAATGGTACTTTCAGCTTTAAAGAAGAATTCTGCCGCTAGACGACCGTTTTCTTTTGCATTGACACCTTTCTCTCCATTCTCTGAAACTGAAATTGACAGTTATTATTAGTGTAAAAATTTTGGAAAATCAGCTGTTGTAGCTCAGAAAGGTGATACATTTTGTAAGAATACTGTATACCATGTTCGCCTCTTTCAAAATAATTTTTTTGTGCTCGTTTTTAAGGGTCGTGCATGATAAAATCTATAACAAAAATAGCACGCGTCGTTCTTAACCGATACAACAAATACTGTCTAATCAAATCACTTATAACGTTGACATATTTAAAAGGGTAATTAATATAGACGGATATTTTAGTTTTCTTAAATATCATTTCAAAATTTATGACGCTTCAGTTATTTTCTATAACAGAAAAACATTATACTTATTATATTAATCTTCTTTAGGGATAATGCTATTTACAGAAGGTCGTGCGTTCCACTGTACGTTAAAATGATCACATACTTCCTTCGTTATACAAATGAGCGAGTCCAAGCTTGATAAGAGCTTCTGGATTCCCCAAATTGGCTGCCCTATAAAATATTAAGAATAAATAACAGAAAACTGTCACATACAAAAGCTTATGATGGATCAAACACGACTCGTCTATTCTGTTGTTTAGTGGAGTTCACTCGTTGGAAATGGAGGGAAATTCGAATGACGCGCAAAGCAACCGAATTCCGTTACACGAGTCGTTCAACAAACCTTTGAAGAAGAGGCAGATTTTTGAGTGATGGCCAAACTCCAAGAAAAGAAGCTGAAATCCAGAGGCTGGATGATTCGTCTACGAGTATCTTGAGTCTAGAACAAACCTACAAAATGGAGAAAATAAAGCTGGGAAATCAACAACAAAACGAACGATCGATCAACGGTCAGAGAAAGGCCACCGTGTTTGTACGGCGAACGACTCTCCAACGGTCATACAGCCTTGGATAGTTTTGGATAAAACAAATGAAGGACCTCGCATCTGTTTAGAATAAGGGTTAGCCGAGTCTACTCACCATTCTCAGATTCATTAATTCGTTTGCTGTAAAACGCTTGAGAATGAGAAGGATGACTTCCTCTGGTAAGGCGAGAAGTGAGGCCCTCGCTCGTGATGGAATTCGCGTTCGAAGCTTCATTTTTCGAAAGCGCGGCTAAACTATTTTGTGCTAGACGATAGTGACTAATTTACAACTATTCTTAGAAAGGAAATCTGTTGTTTAGAGCACAGATTCTGTCCCAAACTACCGATGAATTAGAGAGGCACATACAACGGCTGGTTTTCTGAGAGATTTGATACCGTTGGTGATAAACGCTCCGCGCTGTCAGTTCACGCTCCGCTTCGCACGATCTGATTGGTTGCTTAGGACTCTGGGGCCTCCCCTGAGACTCAATCGCGTGCTCTAGGAAGGAAATTAGCAACGGAAAGTTTTAATTTTACCTTCCCACGCTGTTATATAGTATTTTTATTTTAACTCAGACTTAAATTTTTATTTGGTAATAAAAAGAAAAAGTAAGTCTTAGGATAACAACCAACCGTGAACGAAAACCAGCGTAACACGTTTGCTTCTTGATTAAAATAAATAAATTTACCGTTTTGTCGTCGTGAGGGCGCCGTAGCTCAGTTGGTTAGAGCGCCTGTCTAGTAAACAGGAGGTCGAGGGTTCAAATCCCTCCGGTGCCTTTTTAAGATGTCTTTTTTCTTTTCTTTTCTTTTACAAGAACGTCTACTTTGGGGGCTGAGGCTGAATTTTCTTTTATTTGACGATTTGGGCCTGAGAACGTTCTTAACATGTTCCTGAAGCTGTGTAGAATGATATCCTATCAAGTGAAAACCACATTGTTAATGTTAAAAAAATTCCCGTAGTATTTGAGTTAATTTTCCTTTTAGAACACAGCTTTACGTTATTTTTACCTTCATTTTATATTTCCCTAATATTATTTAAAAGCCAACCTCTAAAGTCTTTGTTATCGAATGCAATTCATTCTAAAATCAGTTTATAACCGGCTGTTCATCTAATAGAGAAAATCCTTACTGAGTGTCCATTTGACTATTAAGGAAGATTTAACGACAATTAGCCTCAAAGTATGAGAAAAATAGTTTCAATTACTCAATTAAAAACCTGAATAATAAAATAATGCATTGCAATAATTTTGATTGGTTTGTATTGGCAATGTAAACTTTGCCGTCATTGGAATGAGCTTTCCGTCAACTTAGGAGTTACTTGCACATTACAATCCCATTCTTTTTTCCTAGTCAAAGTAACAAGCTTTCTTCCTAAACCTTTGACTCCTAAGAGTGACTAGCATCTAATTTCTCCTTTCAATGCCCCCCTGAATTAAATATAAAGGTCACAGGAATAAAGGAAATGATCACCAGAAGCTCTTTATTGCTAACCGGATTCTCCTTCTACGCGCCTTAAGAAATGTGTTGAAAACAATATGGAGAATATGCAGACTCAATATCTTCTCCAGCAGGATGAGACCTTCGTTCGCTCAAGCTGTAACACCTTTCCTTCTCACCCCTTATCACATCTTCAATTGAAACCTTCCCTTCTCCTAAGTCCCCCCTGATAACAAGAAATCTGCCCCCTTAAGGTCGGCGAATAATCATGGGAAATAGTTTCCGGAGTCTGTGTACCTGCCATCCATTGTTGACAATTGTTAATCAAGTTTCGGATTCCGAGAATTCATCTTAAGGTCACTGACCACAGAGAGTTCATCAAAAAATGAATGGAATAAGAGCTCTTCTATTTCTTGGATAAAGTTCTTTACCGGCTAGTCCGTCAAATTCTTGTTGATATGCTCTGTGTTTTTTGTATGAATACGTTATCAGTGTTATCAAAGTAGCAAGAAGAAATATGGCTGCTGGCAAAACCCACGAAGTCAAGAAAAATCCCAGCCACGATAATAATTCACATAAATAGTGAGGGCATGACACCAGTTCAAACAGACATCCACGCGGCAAAACATGGTGGGATTCGTTAGAAAAGGAATCCTCGCGTTTCTCCCTTCGAAACTTCCGAAGTTTAAGATGGCAGAGGCCATTACCAAATTCGCCCAAAATGAAGACGACAGAGCCAGCCACGACAAGCGCTAGAAATGTTTGTCTGTATCCGTTGTCATGGCGTACTGAAATTCCAATCCAGAAAGCGAAGAACCAATAGTAGATAGGTGCTCCTATACTCTCTATGATAGACATTCTTCTGCGGTAGTCGTGAACAAAGAGAACTTCGATCGTTCGGCGTAAAAAGTGAAACGACCAAAGCCCCACGAAAAGGTACTCTAAATATCGATTTTCGGCAAATTTCGCATCTTTTGAGACTAGGAGACAACCTGTTGCAGGAAATTTCTTTATGGATATCCCAGGTACTTTCAGAGCTATAAAAAATGCAGCAAGGGTTCCAATGTAAGTAACACTATTCACAACTACAGGGTTAAATCCATGTCCACTGTTCGCCATGATTGACCTTGAGTAAAGCGATTGCGTGACAAGAATGAAAGTTAAATCAAAATTCACATGGCAACCAGAAGAACAATCAGACATGGTTTGATGCTACTTTTAAGAAAAATCCGAAAATTGGAATGAGCAATGTGGAGAAAATACATCTTGTCGGTGCACCTCTTGGAAACAAAACCTCAGAATTTTTTGGTCTGGATCTCGCTTCATTGCAGTATTATTTCAGGTGAATTAAAAATGTAAACAGAACAAAAAAATAGCCCATATGTTCATTATACACAAATTTATTTGAATAAATGAACCCTACAAAATTTTTGGAAAGGGGGGTAAGGATCCCTTACAAAGTTTTTATTCGGTACTTTGTAATTTTGAATAAAACTGTATTTTTTTAGTAAACCTGAAAAAACTGCAATCTCTTTACTATCCCCCCAAAAAGTTTTGAAATGAAAGAAAGGCAAAAGCAAAAGTTAGACGACACAAAGTCTTGTGACTAATTAATCAAAGCTATTAAAATTTCCGAAAACAACAAATACATTTAGGACAAATATCTCCGTTCAGGAGCTTATTAAGTAATGGGCTCCTGTCCGGTAGAGACATTGTCTAAAGTAAAAAATTCCTCCATTTTGGAAATTCCTTAGGTTTTTTTTAGGATAAGTGGTTATTGTGATTAATTTAATCATTGGTGGATTTGGCTGAGTGGACTTTGCAGAATTGGCTGCTTCAAATGTCCGATTACAGCCAGATGTCCGATTACACTGTCCCTTTACACTGTTTGATTACAGCTGTACAGAATGATTAGTGAAAAATAAAGCAGTTAATGCACCATTCACATTTGAGGAAATTGTAATAATTGCGATAAATGGTGTTGGCGGCTCACGCGGCATTACCTCTAGAGAACATTTCTGTCACATCCCTTTTATAAGTAACCATTCGGTAATGACGTTTCAAGCACGGATTTTTCGATTATATTTCTAATTTTCGAGACGTGTCGCAACCATAAGCGAGCGAACGACCATGTATTCTATTTTGTCACGCCACGCTAGATGGATTGAGTTTCAAATTTCCACGCCACGTCGGACTTTTTCGTTTTTTATTTTTTTCTTTTTTTTTTTTTTTTTACATTCTTGGTTCCTGATGACGCATTCTCCCAGCTAAGCGACGTCAATTTCGTTAAGTAAGAGAAAGTCTACCTTCGACCCCGCTAGTGTTGCTTGATAAACAGCATGGGCGCCAAGATCTAGATTGTCTCAACACAGCAGGATCGGTGTCGTTGCTATACGGAAGGTGGAAATGTTCTGATTGGTTTCGCGGGAAAAATAGCAAGACGAATTTGGCGATTTCGCGCCATTTTGCGTCTTACCGCTGGAGCTATGTACCACTGGCTTACACAAGATGGCGACTGAAGAGAGGAAAGTAAACATTGGTTCCCCGACGAATTCTGCCAAAGATATCGCCGCTTTGGCAAAGTAATTAGTGCAGTTATATCGTGTCATGCCACTGCAATAGGATTATCTCGGGGAAGGTTTATTCTTTTGATCTGAAACTTGGTGAACCAAAACTACATACGATGAGGAAAATTTAGTTAGTCTGCCACGGTCCGCCACAAATTGACCGAATGAGTAACTATTGGATCTCAAGTTTAATTTTTTTCATCTTTTGAGGATAAATTTATCCAAACAAAATATTATTTGGCGTTGAAAATCTTTATTACCGTTGTCTTTGTGCATTTACCGACTCACTTTTAGTAAATCAAAATAGCTTCAATTTGGGAAAGTTTTCCTTATTATGGCCTTCTGGACATACCCTTCATTAGCATGCAATTCCACACATTCCATGGCATTACGCTAAACGAGTTTTTTTTTTCCAGACTGCTAGCAGAATCATCAAAGAAAAAAAATTCCAAGAAACTGCGACGAGTCTGTTTCAAGACCTAGGAGTTTCCACAAAGAGTGTCCAATCTGTAATAGACTTAGTGTCAAGTGCTACAAATATAATCTTGAGGCAGTGGGCCACGTTTACAGCAGCTTGCCTTTACATTTCGTGTTGGGGATCACTCCTTTTCTTACACTGGTTGTAGACTTTGGAATAGTCTCCCACAAGATGGGATGCTAGTGGTATTTCCAAGTTACGAAGTTGGAGAAACTAGAACTAAGTGACATAAATTGTCATTGCACCTCATTGTGCGTTCACCTCAACACTGGATCTCGAATGTTTGCCTCCAGTTCATTTAAAGAATTGTATGTAGCGAAGTATTTAAGGAACAGAAAGAGGTGGGGAGGCAGTACAAATCACATCAGATCCATTCTTTCACCCTTAATTTTCCTTGCTACTCTACCAATGCAAGACTGATGTTGTTGATTAACAATCTTTTAATAGGTAATGTGATAAATAATGAATACAACATTTGCGATGCATGTCAAGAAAAGCAAAAGCAATTGTTTTTATGACCAGTCTAAAATAGAAAAAGGCATATAAATATATACATTAACAAAAAGGCTTAAACTTAATCAGAAGCCAACAGAGATTGCTTCTGCAGCTTTGTTTTGTATACTTCAAGCATCAAGTTTTTCAAGTACTCAATCTCCTTAGACAAAGAATTAACTTGTTCTTTGAGTTCACCGTTATCCTTCTCAAGCCCAGCAAGTTCTTTTGCTATGACATCTTGCTCCTCACGCTTTTTGACCCGGTAGCGAGTGGCAGCATCTTTGTTCTGCTCCCGCTTTCTTTTCCTTTGCTGTGGAGTTTTAGCCTTTGTTGGTTTGTCTTTTGGATATGGTGTGTAGTAGTTGACCTTTACACAGGTCGTTGTTGTGGGAGAAATTTCCACAGTCTTCTTGACTGGTGTTTCAGGGGATGAGGGGTTAGAGAGGCTCTCTTCACTAAGAGAGGCCACTGGGGTTGTTGCCTCGAATAGATCTGACCCAGGGGACAAGACAGAGGGGTGAGACCCCATGTCAACATCAGGAACGCTCTGCAAGGGTGATGTAGGACCAACTTGTTCCTCTGTCACTATTACTGTGTCAACTATGCATTTATTAGTGGTGAGCAGCTTCCTGAGAATTTCATCCACGTTTGCAAAGAGGTTGCCATCAGAGGATTCTTCTGATACTGGTGAATCTGTAACTTCTGAAGTGACAACACTTTCTGGCTCACTGGAAATACATGGATCTGAAGACGTGAATTCAAAATCCCCAAGGTTCACCAAGTCACCACCATCAACTGAGAGAATTGACTCTGTGCTATGGAACTCGAGTTTCTGTGTCATCCAGTCAGAACCTAACAGGCCTCCACCACCGGCTGAAATTCAAAAGAAAACTTTTTGTTAATACTTCAGCACAGACCCTAACCGATAATAACATCTCCATGGCTCTGAGCATCAATGATTCACAATAGAAAATAAGCTGTACAATATTTGATCTCAGCTTACATAACAGAACTGATGCAACAACATGATGCAATAAAAGTCAGTTGATGAGAAACCTCACTAATTTATTGCGAATAAATTTCTTGTTTACACGTATGGACTATTAATGATCAACTCGTGGGGAAATAAGTTTCAGTTTCGTTTTAAAGGAAGACGGCAGTCATCAATTTGTTCAGTGCCTACAAAAAAATACTGACCTTCAACATCGAATTCCTCAAGTAGATCTGTCGCCGATAAACTGAGCGGTGACGAGGCGTCGAGTTGATGCTTCAAGGAATCTGTCTCTTCTATGTACACGTCACATTGTTCAAGAGTTCCGCTTTCCCCGAAGATCGGGAACGAACTGAAGAGCTCCAGCTCTTCCAGAGTCCGAGATGTCGAAAATAATGAAATGTCTTCCATGTTCTTGGTTTCGTGATACGTTCTGGCCATCTATAATCGATGTAAGAGAGAGAACTCGGGCGCGTTTAGGGAATCTGAAAATTAAAAATCGAAAACCAACGTAAGTACACGAAATTCGCACGCAATCGAGTTAACACTTTTAAATTTAAGTTTCAGAGGCGATTTCGTTCTACATCAACCATTTAATCAACCATATTTAAGATAAGATGCACTTGAATGTTCCTTAGTCGTCTAACAGCGATTTTTTTCATCTTCAATTAAGTTTCGTAGTAAACTTAAGAGTAAACAAAAGAACGAAGACACGTTGTTCCAAGGCGATTTTTCTTTTGCGTCGAGAACTCGCCAAAAAGTTAAATTACTCTGAGTTCCTAAGAATCGGGAAGTATACACATTGACTGAAGTACTTACTCCATGGTTGTACTGGTGCAAATAAATTGCACGGAAAGGTTTTGCCAAGAAGCTTTCACACCGCCATTTTCAAGAGGGATGATGAAATTTGTTATGGAAGGGTCGTGCCGCGTGTCTTGAAGCCTTGGCTGATGCAACACCACGCCATAATCAGTAACTGACGTGTCTCTGACCAATCAACAGCCAGATTTATTTTGAGACAACCAATCAGCGTCAAAACGTTTGACGTAAGTGAGCTTGACTTACCAGTTGTCAAACTGGTTTCACGTGGACTTTGCACGCCTTTCCACCTGGCTTACGTAGGTGATCCCGTGTTCTCCATGGGATCTAGTGTTTGGCGGGAATATTTGGCGGCAAAGAAATGTGGTCGAATCTGTATTAAGCGGTCACCCACGCGGAACGGCGCTTAATACGGGTTAACTGGTAAATACAGGTTGCACAAAATGGGGGCGTTTTAGAAATCGCCATTTTACGCCTTGGTTGACCATATAATATACAAAAACTCGCTCATTATTAATGCTAACATTGATTTCCGACGATAAAAATGGAGTGAAATATAATTGAAAGATTATTGTTAATTTTATATGAGTGGTTCTGCTTAATTTACTATTCAATACAGGTGGAGGACATTACAAAAGGTTTGTTGGGACTCAGTAAAGGGTGACTGCGTTCGCTTTAAGAGAGGTGAAAATTACAATTATTAACGGGTCACAATCTCGGAATTTTGAAAACCGACTGCTTACTACAGGGTAATCGCTTAATTACGGTGCCGCTTAATACAGGTTTGACTGTTGAAGTGTGGCAGCTTGTTAATCGCCAACCTACAGAATCACTTCTCCACAAAGAATCACTTGATCTGACAAAGATTCTTTAGTAGGATTACTTGAGATAAAAACGCAGATCGTTCAAATTTTCAAAACTTTGCGCCACAGCTGAAGGACAGACAACAAAACAAACAAAAAACTGTGAATAGGACAACTCTTTGCAAAAGTTTTGTTTATTGATTTCCCAAAGCACTAACGTATGCGGCCTTGAATTTGATTTGCAACGAAATTAGTTCTGTTTATCAGTGGTAAAGAGAAACGTTACTCTTAACATCCGATTTGGAAAAAGTGTTCCCTTGCTACGAAATAAGAATGTTATTGGACAGTGTTTTCAATTGAGTGTCGAAAAACCAAAGTAATCGTAGCGACCAGTCTGAACAAAGGTCTACATGATCGTTCGCCAATGAGAACTCAAAGTGAAATCAAGCAATCCACCTGAAGCGTGGGAAAACGCAAATGGCCAAGTCGCGATGGTTTTCTTTGTTTTGAATCTGATTGGCTGAGAGGATCGATGGCGCAAGTTTTCTGGACCAATCACAGAGCAAAGTAGGTAAAAGCAATCCCAGAAAACTTTCGACACTCAATTCAAAATTGCTTTATTCAAACTACGGCTAATCTCAAAATTCTCCCGTTATGGGAAAATTAACGGCGAGTCTCGATCCGGATAGACTTTATGTATTTACAAAGGAGCGCAAATTTATATCACGATTAGAGCTATGTTTCAGATAATGTCGATAAAAATGCCCGCATTTTCTAAAGACGCTTTATTGGACCAATTTCCTCTGATCATACGAACAATCTGTAATTCCACTATGCATTCAAATTGTAAATTAATATGAAGAAGTCTTGTACAACAAGCAACGATATAATAAATTTTGATAGAAGACTGGTTTCATTGTAGTTGACACTGCCATTAGGACCAAGTTACAACAGGTAAAAGAAATGTGGTGCTTTGCGACACTATAACAATAAAATAAACTTCGTGCAATATGAAGTAAGTTTGTATCATTTATCCTTATTTAAAATTTGGGATTTTATACAAACAGTAAGATAAGTTCTTATACTGGCAGATCTTCGAAGACAAATGAAGGTGATAAGCCATCGATTGCTAAATGACAATGTTTCTCTAAGTGAAAGAAGTAAAAATTTTTTTACTAAGACCCAGAAGCGAAACAGCGGCCATGTCTCCCAGTTTACAATCTTGCTTGGTTTTTCTTCTCTTACCAACCCCACCCCTAACCCCCTCCCCCCAGACAAATGATCTTCACTACAACCTGTCCCGACGACTCCTCTCAAGTGGACAATCTCTGGTACTTTCGGGATGAATGCGATTTACTGAAGTGATTCTGGCGGGAATGGCGATGTTTAGAAAACGGCTTTGAAAAACGTTCCTTGGATTCCTGAAAAAAAAAAAAAACCGTTACAAATCTAAGAATACAGACTCACACACAAAAAGCTGCGTTGAACTGCATGTATATTAATGAGAACACTTCGAGATGTTTTAGGTAAGTTTTTATGATGTGCGAAACTACCTCCATCTTGAAGGAGACTGGTGAATACAAGTTCTTAAGACAGGTAAAAGCAACAGAAGCGTTATAAAATCAGCATGAAAACAAGGATTGCTTTGAAAGAAGAACATTAAAAGGGATTGCTTATGACGACCTTTTTCGGCTACATTTTTCAATGATAGGAACTGACCGTGACCTAACTACATCAACGGGTGCTTTCAGCTATATGGCTAATAAAAGACCGAGAAGTTGACATCGAACCTAGGCATCTATGGAGCTTACCTGTTTAGACTTTCGTTTGTCATGTTCTCGCTGAAATGGATTACCATTAAAACGTCTTGCGCTTGTATCTCTGCTGTTCTTGACCTTCTTTACCTGGATTGGAAATAAAAAAAAAATATAAGTTGATTGCAAGAGAAATAAATGACAGACTGATTGATTGACTGACCGACTCAGTTAGTTGATCATCAATCAAAATTTGAGAACTATGTATAAAGCGCCGAAGCTAATATTAACCCTTTCATTCCCAAGGTCTCTTCAGTTATTCTCCTTTCTGTCTTCAGACAATTCTTACGATGTCAGTTCCGAGATTTGGTTTTGGATCAACTAATAAACCCCCAACTGATATTTTTCTATACTATCATGACTTGTCTGCTCGATATTGCACTGATATTGTGAGGAGAAATTCTGTCACGATCACTCATGGGAGTTATAGGGTTAAACTGCTAACGTTTCGGCTGTTAGCGAATCCTAAACCTAGACGAGAACGCAAATGACATGTGCTAAAACGAACATTGACGGTACTGAACACCACTGTCACCCTATAGGGGTAAAAATGACACAAATTCTCCCTTACTTTTCCTCGGTCGTAATCTTCGTCCCACGGGTCTTGTCGCTGTCGTTTCCTGTCTGATTTCCCGCCACTTCTATCTACAGTGTTTTCGCCGCCATCCCATGACGTCACTGAAATTTGAACAATGAGCAGTAGAGGGTTTAGTAAATGAATAGGGCGTTATCTGGCAATGCAAAATGCACAATTATTTTTTCCCCGGCCCCGCTGTCATCATGGACGTTTTAAGAGAGAGATAAAAAAACACACTCTTGTTACACCCATAATCAATAACGAATCACCATATTATTATGCAAAGAAGGCAAGGATTTACAGAACCAACCTGAACTGCCATAACCATGGAGACCTTTACTGCTGCTTAGCAACTGAGCTACGGTTGATGAATCACGTGAACCATCCCAGGTTGCTCTACGTGTAGCGTTTGTTTTCCTTGGTTCATCCTCGTGAATAACCGGAACTGGAAGGAAAAGATTTAAAACTTGAATATTTGCCAATAGCAGGAAAATATAGGGAGACAATACTGGTGTCGAGAAAGAATTTTTTTTCATCTTGTCACGAGCGTAGGGCAAAGAAAAAAATTTTGATCCTCCATGAGGAGAAGAACCTCAGACCTTTGGATTCCACGCTCCAATGCTCTACCATGGAGACACAGAGACTCTACGGTGAGCCAGGTCATTACGACGCTCAAATGTAACACACGTCCAGCGCACTGCTAGGATTACTAAAGTCTAAAGCGTGGGAATTACATGCGCTTTCAATGCAAGTAGTTCCACGCATGCAGCAATTGTTTTTTTTTTTTACATAAAACTTGCTTAATTGGCCATTATTGAAAATAAAAAAAAAAAACAACAACAACAACAGATATTTCGATCAATGATGATGTACTCACCTCTGGACTCAGTCGTAGTTCTCCTGAAGTCTACATTTGCAGATTTCCCAGCTTCTCGGCCACGGTTGAGCTTCTCACTCTCTGAACCAGAGCTGCTGTCATCATAGCAAACCAACTTGGGTTTCTTACTTGGAGAGACGTCGCCTTCGCGGCATTTAATTTTGTGTTTTTTGCTTTTAGACTTTTCTACTGATTTCCTTTGTTGGCTCGGTTCATTCGCATCTTTTTCTGCAGCCTTTTTCTGTTTTCTCTTCCTTGTTTCCTTTTTATCCACCTCGTCATCATCAAGTAATGCACTTAGCTTCTTATGCTTTTTCTTGCTCTTTTCCTTTCTCTCCTTTTTCATCTTCTTTTCTTTCTTATGTTTTTTCCTCTTTTTCTTCTTGTCGCTCTCTTCGTCAATCTTGCCACTATTTTCCTCTTTCTGTAGAATCTGCGATTCCTTTTTCTCCACCTCAAATTTCTTTGAAACTTGCCACCCTGCATGCTGCCTCTCTGGGAGCCTGGGTCCTGGTGTAAGGGCTGTCTTATCAGACACAGTCCACTCGCCAGTTTTACCCATCATGCTAGAGGTGCTGCTTGTGTCTGATATGGCTGATGACGGGGAAGGCTGGGGTGGAGCGACTCCAGGAGGAGGAGGTGACATGGGGCCAAACGGTGGTTCTGAAGTTGTCTTTGGTGTGACTGTCCATGGAGTGGTAGATTTTGCTGTAAGATATCAATATTATGTTATTACATGGAGGATCCATGTAACTGTCAGCTTTTCCCTCCATGAATGCATTTTGTAAATACAAACAAAAAAAGTAATTTTAACAAAGGAAAAAAACCAAAAGATGGTAATGGCAGCTAAAAGCAAAAACCAGCTGACCCTTTCACTCTCGAGATCTCATTAGTAATTCTCCTTACTGTCTGCCATACAATTCTCATGATGTAAGTTCAGAGAATTTGGCATCGGATCAATTAATAATCCCCTAGTTGATACTTATCTTTATTCTCATTACTTGTCTGCTTGATATTGTATTGAGACTGTAAAGGGGAAATTCTTCCAAGGTGTAGCACACTTGAATGTGCTCACAAAAGTGTAAGTTTGAGCGGGAATTTGTGCAGCTCCAAATTGGTTAAAAAATTAAAATCTTGGTTTCCTTGAGAACAAGAAACAAAAAGATGTAACTTACGTGTATGGCTGGGAATTCCTTTCCCTTGGACTAGTGGCCTGGGGATAAACAACGGTGGCGGACGAGGTTTCTTAGGAGATAGCTTTTTTTCTTTATTTTCCTTCCTCAGTGGGAGACCTTCGTCTGAGGTTTCCTTGATTTTATCTTTCTGGCCTCCCAAAGCTTGACCTTTTACCTCAACTGAAGAGCCGTCTAACTTGCCTGGAGATTTTGAAGTATCAGGCTTTGAAAGAGTCTCCGAAAATTTGCTCAACGAAGAGATTGGAGATTTGGTCTCAGAAGAAAGGCTTTCAGTGCCAGGGTTAATAAATTTTTCCTTCAGTCCATTCTTGTCATATTTCTCCTTTCCCTCGTGTTTAGCTGTGCTTGATTCTGTCTTGTTTCCTTTATTACCAGGAGAGATGTTGAACGTAAACTTGGGTCTCTGTGATGGAGGTGCCAGGGGTACGGACGGGGCGTGGTTTGATGTTGGTGTAGCTGACGGCTTGGTGACTGTAGAGGTTGATGATGACTGTCTATGAAAAGTTATTCCAGATTTGACAGGAGTACCAACATCTGAAAAAAGGGAAGATTTTAAACAATGTACTTGGTTTCAGAACATTGCAAGGTGTGCATTGTGTTCTATTTGCTACAAAACTCACCACATTTTTTGAACATGACAAGGAAACACAGAGGAGCCATGTCAAGTGAATACTTAATCAGTGAGATCCTCTATGAGTTTAGAGGCTGATTCTTGCTTAACCCTAACCTTAACCTGAAGCAGGCCCGTGCTATTTGTCAACAACTTTGCACTTGTTTTCCATGAGAATGCACTCGTTTTCAGTCAATCTAAAGGAAGTATTTTTTCAATGTATATTATTATACCTTAAACCCTTCCATTCCCAAAATTTCAAAATCACTTTTCCTTACAGTCCAAATACATTTCTAATAACCTAAATTCTGAAGACATTATTGCTTGAGTTAAGCAGATTTCCAGGACTTTCCAGGACCTGTAGTCTTTTCCAGGACTATGAAATTAAAATTGTCTTGAATAAATGTTTGGTTAAGAATACAATCCCGATAACTGCAACTAGTGCAATATTAAAGAAAACTCACCATTTGATTGGATGACTTTTGGCAAATTGTCTCTTGGAATAGCAGAAGTTCTTTGTATAGAAACAGTCTTCGGCGAGGTCAGAGGGGACTTGAAAACACAAAAAAGGATAAGGACAGGATGTAAAACAATAAATAACTACATCATCTGTAGTTTCTACACAATTAATCTACAGTACTGTAATATCAAGATATAATTCCAAGCTTCCTGAGTGAGACTTTCATACAACTTAAGATATGTTTAAAAAACACTGGACCAATCATTTTAAAATCTATCCATATGCAATCTACTCTATAATTTTCCTGTTTTGCCCACCACACCTCTTTTTTGGCCTTTGGACATTTACTCCTTTACAATACTTTTTCTAACAAATAAAATTTTAGTTACATCATTCTATAAACATTCAATCAGTGCTTAAATCTTGAACAACTCTGTAGCCAGGCCCTTTGATAAATAATTAAAATAAGTCTCTTTTAATTCCAGTATTCAAATATGAATTATCAACACTTTTCTTATATCAGGTCTTCAATCAAACTAAGTCCCTGTCGAATAGCTTTTTCCCTCCTCTCATCACTTTCCTTATTGAAAAAAAATTTGATACTGTCTGCAAAAATTGAATGTTAGTGTTACGAGTGTCGATGTAGAGCAGGGTTGTTCCTAGAAAAAACTCAGGATTGTTGGTATCAGCAACAAACTGATTTATTTCCCCGTAATTGACTTCTTGACTTTACAGCACTAAGCTTCTTCACAATTCTCTCTGATTTTTCAATAAAGTACAAGGATCTAGAAACTTCTCTAAAGAACTAACGGTTTCTAAATCTGAGTAATTACATAAGAAATAGAATGTTCGAGAATGTCCTTATACAAGAAAGTCACGTCTGGATGACTTCAGGTTCTAGACTGTTCTATAGAATGTTCTTGGACTTAACTTAGACAATTTTTTGTACCAGTAAGTCACTCATGACAGTGAAAGGGTAAATATTATATTACAATTTGGAATAAATACCTTTAATTCCTGTTTGGAAGTCTGTTTGATGTAAAACAACAGATATGCTTGTTGAGAGAGAACTGCTTTCAGTGCAACTTGTCTGACCTGTTGGAAAAATGAGAAATAGAAAGATCCTTCTTATGAGATACTACAAAATTTTGGCAGTTTCTTATCACATACTGACAACTCTGCCCAGCTGAGGGGTACACTGTGTTCTGGGAAATCTAGAACTAAGAAACTTTCAGCTTGATTGCCAAATTTAACAACAATAGTAATAAAGTTAAAAAAGCGTTATTTGCTCTCCAACAGAAATAATATGTACCTATTGAGTAAGTAGGAGGGCTGGATGAAAAAACATTTGGCTTGAGGTCACAATACATTGACCAAGCACAGCGAAGTTTGTGCATCACGACCGAGAGCCAATTATTTTCCTGTGCCACCTGACCCAACTCAGTCTATAGGCATTTTATCATATGACCACTGAGTTTTGAAAATTTCAAAAATCTTGTTTCAATTTAATTAGCACATAATACAAAGGTGCACAAGGGACAAAAAGATTCTTCAATATCAACTTTTCCTTTGTATTTTTGAGTCAGAACAAGAAGCTCACAATTCCTCGAAAATGCAATTCTGTTTTACTTACTTCACTTTTCTGTTACGTTTTTGCAACAAATCCATGTGACTGGACAACTTTTAAAGGACCAGCTCATGTTAAACCCTTTTCAACATGC